AGAAATTCTTCATCTCTAAATAAGGTGTCATTCATCTTCCATCTGAAGGAGCCAGTTGGTGTTAGTCTCATTTCCATCTTAACAGCATTGTGGTCGGAGCAAATTTTCGGGCAGATTTCCACCTTTCTTGTCTTTGGTGCCATTCCTCTAGTTATCCAGATTTGGTCAATTCTTGTCCAAGTCATTTTGGCTTCAGAAAAGAAAGTTCCCTCTTTAGCCAAGGGGTTTCTAATTCTCCAAATATCCACTAAATCCAAGTTGTCTGTCATATCAAAAAAGGTTTTCGGTAGTCTACCATCTTTGGTGACTACCTGTCTTTGTGCCTTGTCCATATAAGTAGATACCACTCCATTCATATCTCCCATCAAAATCATGTTGTAATCCATATGGTCCATCAAGGTCTCATGCAACTTCTTAAAAAAATCAGATTTCCCGTCATTTGGTGCGTAAACTCCTACAATCAAAAATTTTTCTCCTTGTGTTTGAATTTCAATTGCCACAAATCTTCCTTGGTCATCTTTAAAAACAAATTTTGGTGATAAATTGTCTTTTGCGTAGATCACAACCCCTCTCTTTTTAACTTTATCTGACGAAATAAATTCCTGACCAAGTCTTTTATTTATCAACAATTTCCTGTGTAATCTTGTTATATGTGTTTCTTGTAAACAAATTAGGTCCAATTGTTCCTTTTTTAATATATGAAATACTGACTTCCTTTTCTGAGGGGATTCAAACCCCGACAGTTCCATGTTAAAAGTTGCAGGGCCATGATGTTATTGTTTTAGTTCTCCTCCTACTGCACCTAGTGCCTGTTCCTCATCCGTCGGTGGTATCCCTTCTTTCGAACGGTCTTTTGGTTCCGGAAATAGTTCTTTTTGTAGGTCTTCTCCGTGGTCTCTGCAAAATTTGTCTTTGTCGTCTTCCGATCTTATTTTCCTCTTCTTTCCTTTGTAGCTAAAAGACAGGCCTTGAGGGAGTTCCCACCTGAAGTTGATATTGTTCCTTCTCAGCAGGGTAACCAAGTCTTTATATTTTGATCTGAGATCCAGAAGGTATTTCGGAATATCTTTGAATATTTCCACCCTTGTCCGATGGATTTCCAGTGTCTTCTTGAAATGTAGGCCCAAAATCTTATCCCTCTCTTCTTTTGTTCGAAAAGTAATCAGACAGTCTCTCACCTTCTTCTCTCCTCTTCTCCCAAGTCTGAAAGCATTTACTATTCTGAAACTGTCTTTTGCCAGTTCTGGATCCCAAAAGTCCAAAAATTCCTGCGTGAGAAATTCAGCTAGATTGTCCTTTTCCACCTCAGGTACCGATCTGACCCGCAAATTCACTTGCTTTTCCTTCAAATCTATCATAGACAGGGTTAGTTTATGGTCTTCCAATTGTTTATGCAGTGTTGGTAATTCCTCTTGAACCTCTTTAACTTCAGTAGCAGAAGTTGTAGCAATTTCTTTAGCCTCTTCAGCAATCTGGCGTGTTGAGGCCGATTCCTCTAATAATTTCTGAATAGTCTCTGTGTTAGTATTTACTTTTTGGCCCAGGTTATTTATGCTTGCAGTATTTTGATCAATCTTGTCACATGCCTCTGCTACTTGTTGGCTTATTCTATTTAAAGATTCATTAACTTTGGCCAAAACTTGAGCAAAGGCGTCATCACTTGTCGTACTTTTTACCTTTAATTGTGCCGATGAGGCTGTTGTTGAGGTTCCAGAAGGGCCTGAGGCCGAAAATCTCCTTTGTAATCCTTCTTCTGTGCGAATAGTCCTCCCCAATCTTGTAGTCGAAGCATCCGCCTTCTCTTTACCATCTGCCATTCCTTAGATAATGCTCAAGGTCAGTCACGTAGTTGAAATTAAACAGTGGAAATTTCCTACCAAGCAGTGTGAGAACTCCTCAAGCCTGCTACAGTTTCAATTATAACAAGTTGTAACAGTTCCAAGTTCCACTAGGGGGACACTGTAACAGTCATAAAAGTTCTTGGATACTTTAATTTCTTTTTTTTAAGCCCCCCTAGTTTATTCAGGAAGAAAACAGTCTATTCACAATTTTTAACTTAGGACCAGGAGATATATATTCACATAATTTGTCCAAACTTTTATTTCCTGTGCAGGACTAGTAGTCAAAATATATTGCAAGACAGTACCTCTCTTTCTTTCCTAAGATCTGGAGATCCTTTCCCAGGGAGTTGAGTGATGGTTTAATCCCTTCTTTTCCACTCTTTATGAAGAAATCACATCCACAATTCTCCCCCCTTTTCCCTCAATTTATAGAGGGAAAAGTCCAGGTTGGATGATTGGATTAAAGTCCGCTAAAACGTACTTTTCAAATGCTTCCGCTTTCAAGTTCAATGCTTTATTTTATCTACAAAGAAAGAGGCTGACTTCCTTTTTAAACCTCTTTCCGTTTTCGGCCAGATTCCAGTTTGTACAGTTCCAATTAGATTATATCCTACTCACGGATCGTTGATTTTCAGGTCCGGATTTCAAGGAAGAAAGGCAGCGCTCTCCGGTCAACAGCTTGCGGCTTCACACCACGAACGAGCAGACAGCCCACAGCACAGCGCTCTCCCCCGCTCCGATTTCAAGCCCGTTGCTGGGCTTTTTACCGGGTTGGGGGGGCGCCAAATGTGCCCGCTGGGTCCCAGGCTCACAGGCTTCCCCCGCCTGTGATTTTTGAGGGTCCCCCGCTGCGCCGAAGCGGGATCCGACCCTTTTTTTCGTGGCGCTAATTCCCTCTAACCGAGGAAATCCGCCATCGACCGCTGGCGCCGCCTCCGGAAGTCGATCTTGTAATTGATTTTGGTTCAAGAGGCGTTGGGTGCCATCCTTCCAACATTTGGTCTGTTCCCATTCTGTGTGGGCCATAGCAGGGAATCTCAGCTAGTCCTGTTTTGTCCCATGGTATGTCCTGGGACCCCTGGTCTGGCCTTCTGCCTCAGGTGCAGTGAAGGATACTATCATGTCACCATGAGAGCCTTGTTGTTTAGTTATTTAGTTGTGTCCGACTCTTCTTGACCCCATGGACCAGAGCACGCCAGGCACTCCTGTCTTCCACTGCTTCCCACAGTTTGGTCAAACTCATGCTGGTAGCTTCGAGAACACTGTCCAACCATCTCGTCCTCTGTCGTCCCCTTCTCCTTGTGCCCTCCATCTTTTCCAACATCAGGGGTCTTTTCCAGGGAGTCTTCTCTTCTCATGAGGTGGCCAAAGTATTGGAGCCTCAGGTTCAGGATCTGTCCTTCCAGTGAGCACTCAGGGCTGATTTCCTTCAGAATGGATAGGTTTGATCTTCTTGCAGTCCATGGGACTCTCAAGAGTCTCCCCAGAACCAGAATTCAAAAGAGAGAGAGAAATCAGCATTTTGTATTCAGTGCTAGAGATGTTCTTTATTTTTATTTTATTTTAAACTTTTTATTTACACTTTCCAGGTTTATACATTTCGCTGATTTTACAATCATTTTAACATTTCAAAACTTGACTTCCTTCCTCCTCTTTCTGCGATTCCTTAAATTTATTTTTAATATCTTCTGCACATCCAAATTAACTTAATTTGCTCTCATTTATTTATCTACTTTAAATATAGGTAAAGGTAAAGGACCCCGGACACTTAAGTCCAGATTTCAGACGATTCTGGGGTTGCGGTGCTCATCTCACTTTACAGGCCAAGGGAGCCGACGTTTGTCCGCAGAAAGTTTTCCTGGGTCATGTGGCCAGCATGACTAAGCCGCTTCTGGTGCAATGGAACACTGAAACCAGTGCATGAAAATGCTGTTTACCTTCCCGCTGGAGTGGTACCTATTTATCTACTTGCACTTGGCCGTGCTTCCGAACTGCTAGGTTGGCAGGAGCTGGGACAGAGCAATGGGAGCTCATCCCGTCGCGGGGATTCGAACCGCCAACGTTCTGATCAGCAAGCCCAAGAGGCTCAGTGGTTTAAACCACAGTGCCACCTTTAAATATATACTCTTATAAAACTGCAGGTTGTTACAATAACCCTGCCAATGTTCTCATCTGTTTACAATTTATTTGTAAATATTCAATAAACCATTTCCATTCTTTTATTAAAAAAATCTTGTTGTCTTGATTTCCGGTAAGTTTCACCATTTCTGCATGTTCCATAGTTTTTGCATTCATTCTTCCTTTGCTGGGACTTCTGTTTCTTTCCATTTTCGGGCGAGGAACATTCTTGCCTCTGTAGTAGCTTACATGAATACGTTTCTATACGTTTCTATCCCTATAATTCCCAAGAGAAAGGTTTCTGTTTTTTTTTTACAAACGTTATTTTAAACATCTTTTTCAGCTCATTATATATCATTTCCTAGTAAGCTTTAACCTCAGCCTTTCAGTATTTGATCTACAATGCCAAAAGCAAACTTCTCGTGTCTCTGGAAACTTTATAGTGAATTGTAATGTTACTGTGTGTTATATTTGAACCAATTGGTGGGTGTGTTTTTTCAGCTGGTTGTTTTGCGTTACTTTTTGGTAGTGGATGGATTTCCACCAAAGGTTGGAGCTCCTTGCTCTACTATTTCTATATAACTTTTGCTAGCATGCATGGAATTTTGATGTATTAACATTTGGGATTAAAGACCCGACTACATGTTAGGCATAGCTCGATGTAGCTTTCTCTGATTTTTATTCTGCCCTACCTTTTAAAACTAAGGGACGCGGGTGGCGCTGTGGGTTAAACCACAGAGCCTAGGACTTGCCAATCAGAAGGTCGGCGGTTCGAATCCCCGCGACGGGGTGAGCTCCCATTGCTCGGTCCCTGCTCCTGCCAACCTAGCAGTTCAAAAGCACGTCAAAGTGCAAGTAGATAAATAGGTATTGCTCCAGTGGGAAGGTAAACAGTGTTTCCGTGCGCTGCTCTGGATCGCCAGAAGCGACTTAGTCATGCTGGCCACATGACCCGGAAGCTGTACGCCGGCTCCCTTGGCCAATAAAGTGAGATGAGCGCCGCAACCCCAGAGTCGGCCACGACTGGACCTAATGGTCAGGGTCCCTTTACCTTTACCTTACCTTTTAAAACTATGGGGTTTTTTTTTTGCTCTTGGGACATATTGTCTAAGCTGCATTTTAAAAGCTCTTAGCTGCATACACTGGTTTTTAGGCAGGAAATGGATTGAGTTTTAACGTTTTAATTAATGTTTTAATATTGTAACGTTTTAATTGTATATTTTTTTTACTCTGTTGCAACTGCCCAGAGGACTTTTGCTGATTAGGCTGTCAACAAATGTTCTTCAAAAAAAAAGTCATATTTTTTTGTTTGCTTGTTTAATATGAAAAACAGCTGTTGCAATCAGGAAGGAAAAAAGAGGGGGTGGGGAGGGGGTGCTTAACCCTTTCCCTGCCGACCATTTACCTATCATTATACAGAATGCATAAATCATAAATCATTTTACTTGTATGCCGCCTTTCCATAGTTCATGCCACACTCGAGGCAGCTTACAACATGAAAAAACACACCACATAATTACAAATAAATATAATAAAAATGGTCACACACAATAATAAAACGCATAAAAAAAAATACACAACCAAATTAACCATTAGAGCATTAAATCATAATAAAAATAAAGATGTAAAAAGTGAATATCAATAACGACACAAACCCCTAAACAGCAGCCTCGGGTTTTGTGACTGAAGTCAGTCAAGGCCTTGTCTTCCGGGCCAGCAAAGCAGGGAGCAGGTCTTCCACGACTCACAACCAAGAGAGTCTCTTAAAGCTGTCACTTAAAGCTGCTTTTTCCCTCAGAGAGGAAAACATATCGGTTTCTGTGCATTTACCCGCATGGGGAGAAAAGCAGTTTGAGGACAGCAGTTTTGAGAGGGGAAAGGGGGGGCAGGGGGAAAAGTTGAGGGCAGTTTAATTGTACTATTATTATTTACTGAATTTACAAAGCACCCTATACACAGAGGTCTCAGGGCGGTTCACCGAAAAGAGGGCAGTTCACTGACTATTCTTTGATTTCTGAGTACTAGGGCTGCATACATCTGGATTTCCCCAGACACAACCAGGATTTGGGCAGCAGAATGACGTCTGGGCAGATTTTTGCCAAATCTGCAAAATGTCCGGGAAAACCTGGACGTATGGTATTGGGGTGGGGGGAGGTAATTTTTTTATTTTTTTAAAAAATCCATAGAAAAAGCTCAACAACTAAAAAAGAAAAAAGCAAAAGTAAAAAAAAAAAGCAACTTTGTCCAGATTTTCAGTTTTGGGAATATGGCAACCCTAGCAGTGACTGCTTTTCATTTAAAAAAAAAATTGAGCAGGTAAAAATTATACTGAACTCTGTTTGTGGTGTACGGTTTCGCCTTGAGGTGTCATGGGATCTAGGATTAGAAACAGAATCTGTATAGTCTGAGGTAGGGACTTCCCCGAGCGATCTGTTTGACTGTGGGTGGATCTACACACAGGGCGAAAAAAGCTACAAATAAGCCAGAAATTAAATTGTTATAACAAAAGAGAGAGAAAACGCTATGTAAAAACCTCATAGAAAACTTTTTTGCTCTCTGGCGCCATCTGGCGTTGTATGTTTATAACACATTCAAAATGTAGTTTTTTGACGAATGTTGCTGAGTCCCTAATATACCGAGAGACCTCTTTTTGGGCATAGAAGTGAATAAAGATGTCCATTCTCATCTCTTGGAACCGTGAGCAGTATGAGACCTCTGCACTGAGCGGACCTGATATAAATGCGAGGAACCTTCCATTTTCCTCATCAGCAGAGCAAAATCTCCTCCTTGTTTCTGGTCTATTTCAGGTCTATTTCCTGGAAGTCTTGGTCCATAGTTGTTCACAATCTTGTGAAAATGGCTGTAGCATCGCATGGGGTCCCAGTTGAAACTGCAGTGTGAACCTGGGGTGATGGAAAACGTCACATACAAATGGCAGCTGTCCCCGCAACCAGGAGATTTCTGGTACCAGAAAGTGAAAACCAGTTAGATGGGCTCACCAGTCTGGTGGCACTGGCAGAACTACATTATTAGGCAGTACACTTGGGGTGTCCCACTCTGGCATCATAACAGCCTTTTGAGGTAAGACGGAGAGATACTAGCCCAGGGTTATCCAGATTTCCAACATCCAAGTCCAGCACTGTCCACTTACGCACTTATGGGACGCGGGTGGCGCTGTGGTCTAAACCAAGGAGCCTCTTGGGCTTGCTGATCAGAAGCTTGGCGGTTCGAATCCCCGCGACTGAGCTCCTGTTGCTCTGTCCCAGCTCCTGCCTACCTAGTAGTTCGAAAGCACGCCAGTGCAAGTAGATAAATAGGCACCACAGTGGCAGGAGGGTAAACAGCATTTCTGTGCACTCTGGTTTCCATCACGGTATTCTGTTGTGCCAGAAGCGGTTTGGTCCTGCTGGCCACATGACCCAGAAAACTGTCTGTGGACAAACCCCGGCTCCCTCGGTCTGAAGCAAGATGAGCGCCACAATCCCATAGTCACCTTTGACTGGACTTAACCATCCAGGGGTCCTTTACCTTTACTTATGCTACCCTGGTGCTTCCATTTTTTACACTGTCTAGATGACCCCAGGTTCTATTCAATGAACCCCAAATGTGTAAATTGGGCCTCTTGGTGTGTGAATTTGGCGTTCATCTCCATATCCCACCAAGGTGACTTTGTCAGTTGACTTCACCACAATGTTTTACCTTAATGCCTCTGCCTAATAATAATAATAATAATAATAATAATAAATAAATAAATAATTTTTTATTTATACCCTGCCCTCCCCAGCCAAGACCGGGCTCAGGGCAGCTAACAACCAATAATAAAAACAAGTTGATTAAAATACAATTTAAAAGAATTAAGATACAACATTAAAACAATTAGGGAACAATCTCTTCATAGGAGGAGAAAGGAAAAAGAAAGAGGGGGAGGGAATCAAACTGATTCTGAGCCAAAGGCCAGGTGGAACAACTCTGTCTTACAGGCCCTGCGGAAAGAGATCAGATCCTGCAGGGCCCTGGTCTCATGAGGCAGAACGTTCCACCAAGCCGGAGCCAGTGTTGAGAAGGCCCTGGCTCTGGTTGAGGCTAATCTAACTTCCTTAGGGCCTGGGACCTCTAGGGTGCTGCTATTTATGGACCTTAAGGTCCTCCGTGGGGCATAACAGGAGAGGCGGTCCCGTAGGTACGAGGGTCCTAGGCCATGAAGGGCTTTAAAAGTCAAAACCAGCACCTTAAATCTGACCCTGTACTCCACCGGGAGCCAGTGCAACTGGTAAAGCACTGGGTGAATATGCTCCGATGGCAGGGACCCTGTGAGGAGCCTCACTGAAGCATTCTGCACCCACTGGCGTTTCTGGGACAGCTTCAAGGGCAGCCCCGCATAGAGCGAATTACAGTAGTCAAGCCTGGAGGTGACCGTCGCATGGATCACTGTGGCCAGGTCGGGGCGGGAAAAGTAAGGGACCAAATGCTTGATGCGGCGAAGGTGGAAAAATGTCGCCTTGGCTGCTGTTGTTATTGTTTTACCATTGATTTAAAATGAACAAAAAAGGGAACCCATTTTCTTCTGGAGGCATAATGCACTGAAATGGTATCCTTTATCCTATGCCAGAATTTGAACTATTCGGTGCTAAAAATTAGAAGGGCTTAGTCACAGATGAGAAACAGGGTTCCAATTAGAGTAAAATAATATTTTTTTTGTGGGGAATAAATGTAGCATGGCTGCACGTGCAAAAAATAAATAAAAAATCAGTCCTCGTAGGCTTAGTTGGCAATGGTTATTTTTATACCCTGTTGGCATTTATGAGCAAATAATCATTCGCATAAAAATAGGGAAAGAAACAGTGTTGTGTAGGCAGATCTGTTTTGGCATTTGGATGGACTGCATAGGGGGTGTTCAATGTGCATGCTCCACAGATATTGTATGCCTGGCCTCTCCTAATCCTGTCAGGTACCTGTAACCTAGAGACACCACCTTGCCAACAAAGGTCCGTATAGCAAAAGCTATGGTTTTCCCATTAGTGATGTATGGAAGTGAAAGCTGGACCATAAAGAAGGCTGATCACCGAAGAATTGATGCTTTTGAATTATGATGCTGGAGGAGACTCTTGAGAGTCCCATGGACTGCAAGAAGATCAAACCTATCCATTCTGAAGGAAATCAGCCCTGAGTGCTCACTGAAGCTGAGGCTCCAATACTTCAGCCACCTCATGAGAAGAGAAGACTCTCTGGAAAAAACCCTGATGTTGGGAAACAAGGAGAAGGGGACAACAGAGGACGAGATGGTTGGATAGTGTTCTCGAAGCTACCAGCATGAGTTTGACCAAACTGCAGGAGGCAGTGGAAGACAGAAGTGCCTGGCGTGCTCTGGTCCATGGGGTCACGAAGAGTCGGACACGACTAAATGACTAAACGACTAAACAACAACAACCTGTAACCTGGATCTTCTGCATTCAAAGTATGTGCTGTCTCAACTATAGCTGCTCCCCAAGCTGTGATCTGCTGTCCCGTTACACCTTGGGGTGGGGGAATGAGGCTGTCCACAAGGATTAAACTGCAATGATTTGTCCTTCTGGTATCAAATGTGAACATTTAACTCCTCTCCCTGCTTTTCTGTCTATAGCTCCATCTGGCTCGCAGACTGTCTGGGCAGAGTGGTGCATGCTCTGGTTATCTCTCGCTTGGACTACTGCAATGCGCTCTATGTGGGGCTACCTTTGAAGGTGACCCGGAAACTACAACTAATCCAGAATGTGGCAGCTAGACTGGGGACTGGGAGTGGCCGCTGGGACCATATAACACCGGTCCTGAAAGACCTCCATTGGCTCCCAGTATGTTTCTGAGCACAATTCAAAGTGTTGGTGCTGACCTTTAAAGCCCTAAACGGCCTTGGCCCAATATACCTGAAGGAGCATCTCCACATTGTTCAGCCTGGACACTGAGGTCCAGCTCCGAGGGCCTTCTGGCGGTTCCCTCACTATAAGAGGTGAAGTTACAGGGAACCAGGCAGAGGGCCTTCTCAGTAGTGGCGCCCGCCCTGTGGAATGCCCTCCCATCAGATGTCAAGGAAATAAACAACTACCTGACTTTTAGAAGACATCTGGAGGCAACCCTGTATTGGGAAATTTTTAATGTCTAATGTTTTACAATTTTTTTATGTGTTGTAAGCCACCCAGAGTGACTGGGAAAACCCAGCCAGATGGGCGGGGCATAAATAATAAAGTTATTATTATTATTATTGTTATTATTATTAGCAAATAATAATACTGAACAGCCATATTAAGAATATATTCTTCTTCACAATACGGCTCTCCTTTCAGTCTTTTAAGTTGCAGAGCTGTGTGTGAAGGTTGGCACTCCTAGATAGATAACCGTGCTTCTTGTTTTTCCTCACTTTCAAGGACTGGCACATCAGGGCCTTTGATCTTGCCAGGGGCTGAGGCTTGCCAGGATGTTGACAGTGTTTTACGTAATTGCTGGAGAAAGCCTTGCAGAGCGTAGAAGCCGAGGAAAGGAAGAAGCAGTGGGGTGCTCTTGGGGCATATCGCTCACATACTGTGCCTTCTGAAAGGTACGTTCATGGAAACATTCCTTAGTTTGATTGTCCCGAAGCCACAGGAAACATGAATGAAGGGGAGAGAATTTATCTGGGATAAGAGCCAGCCAGATGTGATTTTTCTCCCTCTGCTTCTCTCCCACCCCAGCCAAGCGAGTTCTCAAACGAGAAACTTCAGAGAAGCCCCCCTCGAATCATTGCTATAGTATAAGCATTGCTGCCACTGGGATCCAGGTCTTTTTCTTCTTTGGCGATCCCTCGTAGCTGAGTAAGATTGTCTTCCATGAACATGGTCTTAACAGTGAGTCTGTAAGTGACTGTGGAGGCCAATTCTGGATCCACATGTCCTTCCACAGTGGGACATAGGTTTCTGGGTGGGAGTTGATCACGGTGAGGGTTTGCCAAGCATGCCTTCCTCTTAGCGCGTTTCTCCCTTGCGTCCTGAGTTTGAGTGTCTTCTAAGCCCATGACACCTTTGGTAAAGGCTGTTCTCCAATTGGGGCGCTCACAGGCTAGTGTTTCCCAGTTGTCAGTGTTTATACTACATTTTTAAAGATTTGCCTTGAGAGAGTCCTTAAACCTCTTTTGTTGACCACCAGCATTACGCTTTCCATTCCAGTTCGGAATAGAGTAGTTGCTTTGGAAGACGATAATCAGGCATCCACACAAACATCTGTCTTTCGCATATGCGCCACTGGGTGCAAAGATCCACCCAGCACCCCCAAATTTAGTTTAGCCCCCCAATTAACTTTTATTATGCTTATGTCAGACACCACGCTTACGCCTTATCTCTTGTCTACGAAAGAAGGGAGGAAAAAGAAACAAACTTTTTTATTTGCTCATTTATTTACAATACACTTATACTTAAGTATACAACACCACTACACTTAAACTTACAAGTATTGTTTAGGCACCTACTTAGGAGAAACATCAGTCATGTCAAGGGTGTCACTGACCCCGCTGCCGCATAGCAGCTCAATACAATATGTAATATAATATTTTGATGTAAGAGTTAATTTCGCGTGCTCGGCGCCATTGTGAATGACAAGCGCCACTGTTGTAAATGACAAGTGCCGTCGCTGGTACAGCGCATCTTTGGTAAATGAGTGCACAAAGTCGAAAGTCCTTTAGTGAAACAGAAGGTATACGTTTTGGTAATACATAGGTATATATGTATTTTGTTTTTCTAGCTTGATAAAAACTATTTCTTATTTCATAACAGGTAGATAGTTAAGAGCAGGGGTCAGCAAACTTTTTCAGCAGGGGGCCGGCCCACTGTCCCTCAGACCTTGTGGGGGGCTGGACTATATTTGAAGAAAAAAAATGAACAAATTCCTATGCCCCACAAATAACCCAGAGATGCATTTTAAATAAAAGCACACAGTCTACTCATGTAAAAACATGCTGATTCCCAGACCGTCCGCAGGCCGGATTTAGAAGGCGATTGGGCCAGATCCAGCCCCCGGGCCTTAGTTTGCTTACTCCTGGTTAAGAGCTTAGGCAGCTTCAGCGGCAGGTGCCTGGCGCCCCCCAGAATTTGGCGCCTGGGTGCCCCGCACCCCTTGTACCCCTGGGTAAAGACAGCCCTGCTAGGACTGACAGTAGTCAAGCAACACAAATAAGAGATCAAACAAGGAACTGGAGTTTCAAAGTGAGCTCATTTTGACGGCAACAAGCCAACATGCCCCTGCACCCAAATAGCAGAAAGCTAGAACTGGAGTTGTCGTTGATGTATGAAAAGTTGGGTGCTTTTTCTATTCAGATCCCACTGAGCACCACCACCACTATTTGACCAAGGTTAGCGCTGAACTGTACTGTACTTAAAGGTAAAGGGACCCCTGACCATTAGGTCCAGTCGTGGCCGACTCTGGGGTTGCGGTGCTCATCTCGCTTTATTGGCTGAGGGAGCCAGCGTACAGCTTCCGGGTCATGTGGCCAGTATGACTAAGCCGCTTCTGGCGAACCAGAGCAGCACATGGAAACGCCGTTTACCTTCCCACTGGAGCGGTACCTATTTATCTACTTGCACTTTGACGTGCTTTCGAACTGCTAGGTTGGCAGGAACAGGGACTGAGCAATGGGAGCTCACCCCATTGCGGGGATTCGAACCACTGACCTTCTGATCAGCAAGTCCTAGGCTCTATGGTTTAACCCACGGCACCACCCGCGTACTGTACTTAGGAGTGTAAAATAGATTCCAGGATGGGGGAGGGGTCACTTTTTAAACAGGAAAAAAATTAAGACACTCATGACTTTAGTCATGCATAAAAAAGCATGGAAATTTTATGTTGATGTATTCCCTAAACATCAATTCACAGAAGGTTTACATTGTAAGCAGGAAACACGGTTTTGGGGATTTTTGATCCATGTCGCTTTTAAGTCTGCTCACTCTCTTTCTGCCCATCTTAGTACATGAAAATGTATATTTAAATATGTATGTTAATATGAATTTTAAGTGTATTTTCTCTCAAAATATGCACTTCTAAAAGTATTTACGTTGAAAAGAAAAAAGCAAGTGCCTTTTCATGTGTTTTTTTTCAGTTGAGAACTGTCAGTGGAAGAACTGTCAATGGAAGTGTGAATGCCAACGGATAATTAAGTTCTCAACCACAAATTAGTCTGAGAGGATGGTTCATGTTTGAATTCAAAGAAGCTGAATTCCTCAAGCATCTTTACACATTTCATTATTATGGGTCAACAGATTTGCTACCTACTGCAGAGTGTATGTGGTCCAACTTTCACTCTGCTTTGTATATTTGCAAATAAGCCAAACGTTACAAAGACATCCTAAGTTTAAATTGCTTCAAATGGAAGAACCCCAGCAATACTGTCCTGGAACTTTCCACCAGTAAGGGAAGCGGGGATGATCTAACAGGATATGATTCAGGCTGCAATCTGATATGCCCGTTTCCCAGCTAGTCGTGGAGTATGCAACAATATTTGCACATATACCTTGCCCAAAGCAACCACCCACTGCAACAAGGCTATTCCCCTTTAGGTATTCCACGATAATGGGACTGGTGCTACAGGTAAAGGCCAACAATGGCTTTGTTTGTCTGGAAAGGTCTATATAGTTTTAGCTATGGATTTATGTAATTCTGTTCTAATAAAGGTAACTCGCATCTGATATGAGTGTCAGGCAGCAGAGGAACCAACCTCCAGGAACGGAGAAGACAAGGAAAAGTCCTTACAATCTGCTTTTTGTTCAATATTTACAGAGAGAGGCTTGAGAATGCAGCCTCTTGGATAATGGCATTGTCCCGAGTGAATCTCCACCCCCACTCCCATCTATCCCACATTCGTCACTTCTACGGGTGCTGCTATGTGCCCTCTGTCTTTGAGCTCTTTGCTCTCATACTTTCTAGGCTCGCCAGGTTCTGGGAGATGGAGGGTTTGGAAGGCTTTCTAGTGATAAAGTGTCAGCCAGCTGCTCCAGCTCTGCCTCCTCCTCCTCCTCCTCTCCCATTATTTCCCAACTTTCCCCCTCATCTTCCCCTGAGCTGTGACCTCCCTCAAACCCCTGTTGTAATTCTGAACTGTCTTCTTCTTCTCTGGAAGGCTCAGGCTGGGGAGGTGCTCTCCACCATCCCTCTTCTGCCCAGTCCCTGACAGTGGTGGTTAGGTTCTGGCCACCATGCATATAAGCAAAATCGCGTAAAGTCGGACTGACCCCTAGAATACCATTTAAAAACCACGTAGAAAATTGCAGATGAATGCGGCTCTTAGTTTTCCTCCTCTTTCTCCTCCTCTCCCTCGCCGGATGATGCTTCAGATGATATAAAGACCGACGGGGTTGACCAGTAGCTGGAAGAAGTGCTTGGCTGTGGTACAGATCCAGAGGTGGGGAACAACTAATGCCTGCCGCTGGTGGTTTTCTTGGTGAGGAATACAGTGGTTGGCAGATGCTGTTGCCTCTTGAGCTCCTTATATATTTCATGATACGTCTCGGGGGGTCTGCAATCCCATGGATGATCTTGAGGCTGCGTTCTATGGAGGGGTTCAAAGTCTGCAAACGGATCGTTTGCGTGCTATGCGACTTGGAGGAGTTGTTCTAGCTTGCTGGCTCATGCCAGCACCGTCAATCCTTGCATCCTGAACCTGATCTAACCAGTCCCTCCAATGCTTCAACAGTCTGTTGGCCCTCAATGAGCTCTTCCACTCTACAAATCTCTCTGCCTCCTCCAATCGTCCTCACCAACTGCCTCTTCCTCACCTAAACACTCTAAGGAAGGCTTGAGAGCCAGTGTGGTGTAGTGGTTAAGAGCGGTGGACTCGTAATCTGGTGAACCGGGTTCGCATCCCCGCTCCTCCACATGCAGCTGCTGGGTAACCTTGGGCTAGTTACACTTCTTTGAAGTCTCTCAGCCCCACTCACCTCACAGAGTGTTTGTTGTGGGGGAGGAAGGGAAAGGAGAATGTTAGCAGCTTTGAGACTCCTTCGGGTAGTGATAAAGCGGGATATCAAATCCAAACAACAACTCCTCTTCTTCTTCTTCTTCTTCTTCTTCTTCTTCTTCTTCTTCTTCTTCTTCTTCACTTCTTGGGCTGCTGCCTGTTTTCTCCTGCTCTACCACCACCTCCCTCACATTTTCACAATTTTATCCTCCCCCCACCACCCATGCATGCCATTTTTACATCATAAATAAAAAAATCTTAAATGAGTGAGTTACCTGTATATAGACTGTTATGTACTGAAGTTCTTACCCTGGGCCAGCAGGGGGATACTGTAGATAGTTATGCAAATGAAGGATCGAAAGTGACGTTCAGTGATTGGATAGTTTTAGAAAGTTGCTACAGTAACATTGTACTGGAGCTCTATATAAGCAGGCTGACTGAGCCCTTCATTTCAGTTCTGTTGTGGCCTCTGAATAAAGAAGAGCTGTTTGAAGAATCGCTGTGTCATCTGATATGTTCACCCACAACTTAACATAGACCAAGCCAGGAAGGCATTCTCTTATGCTGCCAGAGGGATTGGTAGGGTTCACACTGTGGTGGAAAAAGCACCAGAAAGTTCCAAGGAGAGAAAGTAGCCGTTGTCTTGTCTATAAAGACTAGACTGCCCTTACCTGTTCGTAGGGCACCAGAGGTGCAACATCTGTAATAAAAATCCCCGTGAAATGCACAGAACAAATAAAACAACCCTGTTTTCCAGGACCAGAATCCAGCAGCAAGAAGAGGACCCTGGATGGTGCAGTTAGTATTTTTAGAATTTTGAAAAACTGCCCTTTCTTAGCAGTGTTGAGCTTTCCAGTAAAACTCCTTATTTTATGTTTAAGGGGGTGGATGAATCATAACAAACGGTAAGTTCGATCCGTTTGTGCTGCCAACAGTCTGACCTCTGAGGATGCCTTCTTGACACTAACAACGCCAGAAAGGGGATGCTGGATCAAGGCCCTCCATAGAAACACAATTTCTTCCCCCAAAAGGAATGAATCATTAAAGGGGTAAATCCAGTTCCGTTTGTGAGTCACACACTCTGCTGGCTGTCAGAGAAATGAGAAAAAGAAAACAGGATTGCCTCACTGGGGGTATGTGTGGTGGAGTATTGTGGTCTGGGATATTGGCCAACAGAGGAACTGCAATCATAAAGACCAAATATGAAAGACTTAATGGACAGGGAAACATTGCAGAAGGCCCAAGGCTGTCTGCGTACCCATGGATTCTGACACATGTTTTTAGATGTGTGAACAGTGGTGGTGAATAAATGGAGCATTCAAGTTTGGCTACTTCCTATGTTTTAGGACAGAGCAGTATTGGCAAACTTGGCTCAAATTAAGTCCTGAAATTCAATTACATGAATGATATCCCTAAACTACTCTTCTTTGGCGATCACTCATAGCCAAGTAAGATGGTCTTCCATGAACACAGTCATAACAGTGAGTCCGTAAGTGACTGTGGAGGCCAATTCTGGATCTACACGTCCTTCCACAGTGGGGACATAGGTTTCTGGGCAGGAGTTGATCACGGTGAGGGTTTGCCAAGTGTGCCTTCCTCTTAGCACGTTACTCCCTTGCGTCCTGAGTTTGAGTGTCTTCAAAGCCTATGACACCTTTGGTAAAGGCTGTTCTCCGACTGGAGCGCTCACAGGCCAGTGTTTCCCAGGTGTTGGCGTTTATACTACATTTTTTTTAGATTTGCCTTGAGAGAGTCTTTCAACCTCTTTTGTTGACCACCCCATTACGCTTTCCATTTTCAAATTTAATTTTAAAAAACTATTAGGACTGTACTGAATTGGCAAGGACCGTTTCTGAGCTCTTTTCACCCACTTCAAAATGGGGAAGAGGTAGCGGGGAGCTTCTCTGCACTTCCACTTCACCTGGCTGCTCCCCATCCCCTGGGAAAGCTGCTCTTTAGCACTCAACTGGAGCAAATGGCAGTTGGGTGTGGGAAGGAGAGGAGAACGCTAGTGGGAATCATTGTACAGGTTCCTACTAGCATGACCATTCAATTGACTCTGGCCCTAAAATTTCCACTGAAAAACACAGGCTTAATTAATTGGTTGGGTGTGAGATTTGTTTAATATTTTTTAAAATGGGATTGGTTGGTAGGAAATAGCAGGATTCATTTATGCAATTCCCAAGGCCTTCCTGTCCTCCAATATGTGGGAAAACCAGTGTGGCAATCTCTTAGCACTTGAGCATGAGCAAAACCCATCTCCCCAGCGTTCCCCTTGAAGTCAAGGCACAATCCTTTGACACACAACACCCTCCTGGTTTTCAATTTCCAATGCATGGGGTCCCCCCCCCCCAGTTCAATAATCTGGCATCTGAGGACCTCTTACCTTCACAGTTCCTGCTCATTATCGCTTATGGGCACCACGGGCCTTGGCAAGTGTATCACCATCAAACTGACAGACATCCCTTTCTCAGGGCAATATGATGGTCGCTTGCAAACCTGCCTATTGTGACATCAGCTGGGAGACAGGGACCAGGTTGCTGGGTTGCCAGGCAGCTGTGTTAATAACAATAAAAATAAGGGGAGGGGGTGTCAAAGTGTAATGGGATGAGACCACAGTGCATCTTAGGGCCCCCACCCAGAGTGGCTTGGGTAACTCAGCCAGATGGGCAGGGTATAAATAATAAAATTGTTGTTGTTGTTAAAAAGGTAAAGGGACCCCTGACCATTAGGTCCAGTCGTGGTCGACTCTGGGGTTGCGGCGCTCATCTCGCTTTATTGGTCAAGGGAGCCGGCGTACAGCTTCCGGGTCATGTGGCCAGCAGGACTAAGCCGCTTCTGGCGAACCAGAGCAGTGCACGGAAACGCCGTTTACCTTACCGCTAGAGCGGTACCTATTTATCTTCTTGCACTTTGACGTACTTTTGAACTGCTAGGTGGGCAGGAGCAGGGACCGAGCAACAGGAGCTCACCCTGTCACGGGGATTCGAACTGCTGACCTTCCGATTGGCAAGTCCTCGGCTCTGTGGTTTAACCCACAGCGCCCCCCGCGTCCCCATTGTTGTTGTTAATAATGTTGAATTATTTTTGTTGTTGTTTAAGGCAGGATCAGACTATTGTTCTCCTCCTTCTTCACAGTCCTGAGCGTGATGGTTCTCCTGCCATTCCCCGTATCCAGTATAACATAAGAAGAAGAAGAAGAAGAAGAAGAAGAACAAGAAGAAGAAGAAGAAGAAGAAGAAGAAGAAGAGGTGTTGGTGCTGACCTTTAAAGCCCTAAACAGCCTCAGTCCAGTATACCTGAAGGAGCGTCTCCACCCCCATCATTCAGCCCGGACACCGAGGTCCAGCGCCGAGGGCCTTCTGGCAGTTCCCTCATTGCGAGAAGTGAGGTTACAGGGAACCAGACAGAGGGCCTTCTCGGTAGTGGTGCCCACCCTGTGGAATACCCTCCTACCAGATGTGAAGGAAATAAGCAGCTATCCTATCTTTAAAAGACATCTGAAGGGAAGTTTTTAATATTTAATGCTGTACTGTTTTTAACATTTGGGGAAACTCAGCCAGATGGGCGGGGTATAAATATATTATTATTATTATTATTATTATTATTATTATTATTATTATTTAAACCCAGCCCATCTGGCTGGGCTTCCCCAGGCACTCTGGGTGGCTTCCAACAAAATATTAAAATACAGTAACATAGAGATATGAAGTTACTTCATTGCATGTTGTTTGGCTCTCCAGTTGTGCTCTGAAAGGCACGGTTCCTAGCGGGACATGCCCCACAGAGAAGTAAATTTCAGAGCTCTCCCTTCCCTCTGGCATCTAGAATGAAGAATTGCTGGTATTTGCTCTCCAGATGACCTGCCTCAATGTCGCAGAGGGCAAGAGGCTGTTTCTTTTCCTGTGTCTCTAAGAGTGTTTCTGGTTATCAATAGCCAGAGCCAGAGCTACACAACAGCTTTTTTTAATGGTGTTCTTGCCTGTGCTGTGGATGCCCATCCTACAAGCAACACCCTTCACACATTTTCATAGAGCTTCATAACCTCCCAGGTTTAGAGGGGTGCAAAAGAAGAAATGAGTTTGCACGTTAAAAGGCAGTGATGCTTTCGTTGTAGACTTATTGGAAAACAATTGGCTGCCTCCAGTCAAATAGTATGTTCACACTGGTGGCTTAAAATGCAGCGAGGCTGTCCCCCTGCCCCACTTCACTGGGGTTCAAGCTGCATTTGCACAGTGCTGTTTGTATGACAGGTGATGTCACCACCTGGTCACAAGAGCTTTTGGGTTTTCCTGCCCCTGCGACTCCCCCTTCTGAGCAACTATTCATGATGCTGTTGTCTGCGCATGCCCATTTTGAAGTACAAAGAGAATGTGTCTTTCTAGTCAAATTGGAACTGGTTTTAGGAAACGAAATATGCATTAAACTAGCAGTAATATTGCACTGGATGCAGAGAAAGTGATGATGTGAACATACCTGTTCAGCCCGGACACTGAGGTCCCGCTCTGAGGGCCTTCTGGAGGTTCCCTCACTGCGAGAAGTGAAGTTACAGGGAACCAGGCAGAGGGCCTTCTCGGTGGCGGCGCCCGCCCTGTGGAACGCCCTCCCACCAGATGTCAAGGAAATAAACAACTATCTGACTTTTAGATGACATCTGAAGGCAACCCTGTTTAGGGAAGCTTTTAAAGTTTGATGTTTTATCACTTTTTATTATTATTAATATTCTATTGGGAGTCACCCAGAGTGGCTGGGGAAACCCAGCCAGATGGGCAGGGTATAAAGAATAAAGAATGAAAAATAAGTAATAAAGAATATCATTTATTATTATTATTATTATTATTATTATTATTATTATTATTATCATACCTGAGGCCATTTGGGTGTGTTTACAGTAGCATTTTACTGCAGCAACTACTCATACAAGTGCTTGCACCAACTCCATATATTTCCCTAGCGACTGTTCCCTTTCACCAAATGTGTTAGCGCATGCCAAAAGCCCGTCGGAAATTCTGAGCATGCAAGGGGAAGGAACATTAAAAGGCGCCTGCCTCGTCTTTGACGTGGCAGAGCTCCACGTGGCAGAGCAGCAGCGGTGCATTTTCATTCCCAGTCCTAAATTCACATGCATGCTCTCGGCCACAAATGCTGTCATGCTCACTATCACCCCAACATGTGGTGATGTAATGGCCATGTGCATAGCACACACATGCACAGTAAGTGCAAAACTGTGTTTGGGGCAGGGATCTCCTCTGGATTTGCCCTCGAATTCTGGCTGCTGACTAACTTGATAAATTTCAGTTCAGGCTAGTAAAGTTAAGCTAAGGCCATCTGTGAATAATAATAATAATAATAATAATAATAATAATAATTTATTATTTATACCCCGCCCATCTGGCTGAGTTTCCCCAGCTACTCTGGGCGGCTCCCAATCAAGTGTTAAGAACAATACAACGTTAAATATTAAAAACTTCCCTGAACAGGGCTGCCTTCAGATGTGTTTTAAAGATAGGATAGCTGCTTATTTCCTTCACATCTGAAGGGAGGGTGTTCCACAGGGTGGGCGCCACTACCGAGAAGCCCCTCTGTCTAGTTCCCTGTAACCTCACTTCTCACAATGAGGGAACCGCCAGAAGGCCCTTGGCGCTGGACCTCAGTATCCGGGCAGAACGATGGGGGTGGAGACGCTCCTTCAGGTATACTGGACTGAGGCCGTTTAGGGCTTTCAAGGTCAGCACCAACACTTTGAATTGTGCTCGGAAACGTACTGGGAGCATATGCAGATCTCTCAGAACTGGTGTTATGTGGTCCCGGCGGTCACTCCCAGTCACCAGTCTGGCTGCCGCATTCTGGATTAATTGCAGTTTCCGGGTGACCTTCAAAGGTAGCTCCACGTACAGCATGTTGCAGTAGTCCAAGCGGGAGATAACTAGAGCATGCACCACTCTGGCGAGGCAGTCTGCGGGCAGGTAGGGTCTCAGCCTGTGTACCAGAAGGAGCTGGTAGACAGCTGCCCTGGATACAGAATTGACCTGCGCCTCCATGGACAGCCGTGAGTCCAAAATGACTCCCAGGCTGCGCACCTGGTCCTTCAGGGGCACAGTTACCCCATTCAGGACTAGGGAATCCCCCACACCCGCCCGCCCCCTGTCCCCCCAAAACAGTACTTCTGTCTTGTCAGGATTCAACCTCAATCTGTTAGCTGCCATCCATCCATGAAGTCATCTTGGTTTCCATAGCTTTGGAAATACAGCGGTAGGAACGGAAACAGCAACATAAGAAGAAGGTTCCTTTGCTTCTGGGTCTCCTCTGCATGCATCAACGGTCCCAGCATTCTCGGAGGAAGCTGGCTGCGGCCGTAGGAAAGGGTTAAGCAGTGTTGTTCCTTGTCACATGACTCTGGGAATGTGAGCTGAGTAAGATCCTTGGGCAGCAGAGAGCAACTGCTGGAGAGGCACATGTTGCCTGCAGATGTGGCCCAGACCACAAACACTTCAAAGTGCTTCCCTCAGACTGACAGAACATTCTGACGCCGACTGTAAATGCCCTTGACTCTCGGAGTGGAAAATATCAAACGCTCCAGCGGCCCCCAAAATGCAGCCTGTTTTCTATGGAAAAAGCCTTAATGAACCTGCAGTGAAGGGGCAGGGGCGGTAGAGGTCGGATTCAGGTTCTCAGTGGTCCTTTGTGCGATTCCTACAGGCTGGCAAAAGCCTTTTGCTATGCATTCGAGTGCAACTGGAGTTTGTTTCAAACCTCAAGAACAGCTTGGGTGTTGGTCCAAGGCCCTGCTGGGTTAAGGACCTAAGAATGACTGCCACAGGCACTTTGGGAAACAGCAAAAGTATCTTCTTCAATTCCTCTTGTCTCGTTTCTCCTGCTTTCAGTTTGCTCCTCATGGTCCCATCTTCGTCCTTCAGGCGAGTGTCTTCCATCAGTATCTGAAGGATCTTTTTATTTTAAAATATATATACATTGCTGAAATGTGTGCCAAATGCAACCGAACACCTCAGCAGCCAAATACACCGGTAATTTTGATGCAATGTTGAAGAAAACCTTAATGGACTTCCCAAAGTCATGAGATTGTCTGGGCTGTGCTAGTTAGCATGTAGGTGGATTTGCACAAGAGCAGTTTAGTTTTCAGAGAGATGGAGAACTTTTTTAATGAACAAGGAGGATCTAGGCAATGGGCATGATGGGAGCCTTTGCAAAATTCTTATTTTCGGATTAATATTGAGAAAGTTGGAATTACTTCTGAGCACTGATTTTGGAGGGGTGAGTCATGTTCCTCACACTGTTTTCAGTGACAGACTATGTGAAAGAGAGGGGACCCAAATATACCCTAAACGTATTTTCAAATGGTTCACATCCACACATTCCTCACCATGTCTTTTTGTCTGCTCTGGTTGCAGAAGAGCCACTTGTAGGGTTGAGAAAAGGTCAATATATTTGCAGGTTTGGGCTAATGAAGTTACAGT